TATATATACACATTGTTCTCTTCTGTGTGTACATGTTTTTGCAAACTGCTGGGGATGATTTTTGACCATTTTCCCAGTACCCATAATCTGGTGAGGACCCACTATTCCTTATGGGGACAAAAGCCGGTCCCCATTGTGAAAAATACAACTGGTGGGTCAGAGGTTAGGGTTAGGACTAAGCTGTGATTTGAGTTTAGGTTAGGTTTAGGGTGTGGGGTCAGGGTTAGGCTATAGGATTGACCGGAAAATGAATGGAAGTCAATGAATGGTCCCCACGGGGATATAAAAGCAAACTTGTGTGAGTGATCTGATCTGCATTAATAAACAACAGTGAATAAACTGATTAGCAAAGTGTAAGAAAGCAGAAGTTGTTTTTTTTTCTTTATGGGAAGTGTGACTTGACAGTAGATGAGTCAACAGTTTGGTTTGTTGGATTGCGTATCTATAATCATGGTGACACAACAGTTCTCCTCTTCCTCTGCCTCTGCTGGGATGTACAACTTGTGAAGAGAGCTCTGAGAGGAGACATAAGTAATAATAAAAATAAAGTGTTAATCTCTAGGAAAACCAAATACAAACCTTTCTGGTTATTGTGATTATAAGAAGTAAAAATAAAAAATAAAAAACGTTACCACATTATTGTTTATATTATCACTGAGGAGATCCCGAGGTTTGGGTATTTTGGGGAAAATGTGGCTTTTATTTCTATATACAGAGAATTTGATATTAGGGATACATAAAAGACAATACTGAAATTGTAACTGAGATAAAAAAAAAAACAGTTTTTACTTACATCCAGCAATAACAAGTCACAGCAAACAGGAAAGCAATCACCAGTGGGGTAAAGACTGCTGCAAATAGCAATGGATTAAAGATCTCATCAATAGGCTCTGGAAGAAAAGACACCAAGAGGACTGTGGTCAGCTGAGAGCCATACCATAATACTACAAAGTTTGATATTTCAAGCTTAAATTTCACATTACCAAAAGACACTATAAACTTCGTTGATTTTGATGTAACATGTTACATAAAAACAAGGGTCAACACTGTTAAACACAGAGATTTTACAATAAAAAACTTTTAATAATCTTTTTAACTGAGATCGCAAAGCAGGATGTTGGGATCGGCTGATCAATTTTCTTTAAAGGAACGATAGAAATGACAGCCGGCTCTTTCAAAATAAAGAGACCAGAAAACAGAGAGCGAAATGAACCATACCAAAACACTTTGCGGAACTTTGTGGTGTGCTTCCACTTTTGCTCGTGGCTCGGACACTTATGCAGTACCTGCAGTGGGGGGCCCGGGTCAGCGAATATTGAGAAGTTCCCATCAATGTGCGTTTCTACGGAAAGAAAACAACAGCATCAGATGATAAATCTGGAGTCAGGGGTTTACCTTCAGGGGAATAGAAAAGGCTGCACTGATCATTATCTGGTTAAATCAAATTCCATGACAAGAAACAGTTGTAGAATTTAATAATACAATCTGTAGCATTTATTTTCTACTAGATGACCCAAAGTAGCATCAACATATAAAATGTATGATTAAATATGAACCCATAATACAAAACTATTTCAGTGTTTATGATATAAACACTAAAATTTACGTGGAAGTTTTTTTTTTTTCCGTTTTTTAACGAGGCAAATCCCATTGAGATCACTGATCTCTTTTGCAAGGGTGGCAACCGTGCACCGGGCAAACATGTGTTGTGGGGGAAACCGGAGTACCCAGAGAAAACCCACGCAAGCACAAGGAGAACATTCAAGACCCCAGAAAGACCCCAGGTCCAAACAGAGAATCGAATCCAGGCCCTTTTTGCCGTGAGGCATCAATGCTAACCACTGACCCATCATGCTGCCAAGATAGTTAGTGCATCTTTGGTCTGTAACTGATACCATACTTATTACGATCCACTGTCAAAAATCTAGTTCAGTAAAGATACATGAGCAGAATAAATTATAGTTTTGCCCCTAATCATAAAATGATTCAGCCTTCAATAAAGCTAATACATCACAGATCATTAATCTTGTTTTTCCAAAGGGGAACTGCAAATCGGGAAAAATAGATACTTAAGTTTCCTAGTTGTGTATTACAATATAATATTACATTTTCAGAAAGCACTGGTTCAGTGACAACCGTTTCCCAACATACTCGAGCTCATGTGGCTTCCCAGACTCCCTAAACTGTTTTCAACATTATGTTTTGAAATGCCTGAGTTGCGTGGACTTTTTATAGGTAGAGTTTGCATGTTCTCTACATGCATGCATGGGTTTTCTCCAGGTACTACGGTTTCTTCCCACAGACCAAAAACATGCATGCAGGTTAATTGGTAACTCTGAATTGTACCTAGGTGTGGGTGAAGCTAGGTTTATAGTTGACATGTGTCGACGGTGTCCCGGTGCATAGCCGTGCACCTCCGAATTTTTGTAGCTCCGCAACGTCTGGATGTGCTGCGCACCATTCAAATAGTTTTTTTTTTCTGTCAAGATTTTGCTCTCCTGAGTACAACCTTTTCACAAGTTGTAAAGTGTACTTCCACATGTTATTTTGGAGAATACTACAACAACATAGCATCAACTATAAACAACTCCACTGCTAGCAAGAGAGCACATGCCCTGTGCGAGTACCCCAAGCATGACTATAACCCAGCCTTAAGAACATGAATGGTTGTTTGTCTCGTTTGTCTCTATGTGTGGCCATGTGATGGACTTGCGACCTGTCCAGAGCGTACCCCGCCCCTCGCACAGTGACTGCTGGATATGGGCACCAGTGACCCCTGCAACCCAGAAAGGAAGAAGCGGGTAAAGGTAACAGATGGATGTTTTGAAATGTAGCAAGATAAAAACGTTTTCGCTGTTTTGCAAATGTGAGTTTTGAGTATCCTGGTTGGACAGAAAGGTGCTATATAAATACAGTTTACCATTTAGGAATTCATACTCATACATACTGTACTTTTGTGTCTCTCACCTTGCTCTTATTACATTCAGTGTAATTTATTTCAAAGTTCCATGCTCGTAGTGCAAGCATTTCTGGTGGAATCCATGTGATACTGAATGTATCTCCACTTKCTTTGACATTCCAATCAAAGTGACTTGGCTTCACTGTACAGAAAAAGACATGAAAGACAAAGTCTTTGGGACTTACACACATCTTGATACAATTGCAACAGCCACAACAGTTCCAAGAAAGAACGGTGAGAATAACTTTCTTAATGAGAAACTAAAGGAGGAAGTGCAGAAATATTCACAGGATATTCCCTTCAGGAAACCAAACCAATCAGTTCCCTTTTTACCGTTAAATAAAGGCTCCCGCATGAAGGTGTTCCTAACCAGTGTGTTGTTGAGTGTTGCATTAAACACAATATAGATGATGTGGCTGGTCTTCGCCTCCAGAACACAACTCGTCTTCCTGCCACCAGTGGGCTCATTCGATGAACATTTTTGTAATTCTGTTGGTGCCTCGTCGCTTAATTGTTCCTCTAATCTTTGAAACAAATAGAAAAAATGTTGTTTACTGTCATGCATCACAAAATGTCTAAAATCAATCCATTGCTAAAATGGACATTTCCAAAAATAGTCATGTAAACAGCCATGTCAGAGCAATTCCCTGAAGAAATGCACATCATTGAGGACTTTTCATACCACAGAGGTTTAGATTGTCTTATGTTGCAAATTGAGAGTTGAAGCTCTTTTTGTCAAGCTGCGACACAGATGGTGAAGAGCAACACTGTGTAATGATCACTGTCAGATATAATTTCACTTCATAATCAGACTTAGATTTTTATTCAGCTTTATCATCAGCTTTCTTAACAGTAATATTTATGCTTCTGCTGCTGCACCATGAGGACCTTTGAAATAAAAACTTAAATCTTAAATAAAAATTCACGCATCTTCTTCCTCCTCAGATGACCCTGACCCACAGACCCCTCCTCGACAAGAGACATTTCAATAGCACGACAGCTAAAGTCACGCTTTGGGTACATGCACACGGCGCACCCACCCTCGCCAGTGTGGATGTTATAAAAAGTTCACTTTTTAAAAATGTATTTGTAGCGGGGGTGTTTGTGGGGTGGGTG